AAAATCTCAAGGCTACAATGTTGAGGGTAGTTGTTTAAATATCCCCAAGTTATGCACTTGGCCTTTATTAGGGAATTACTCTTTCTTGAATCAGTTACATTATACCACCTTCTCAGTTTGACAAGCCATTTGGCCACAGCATCAAAAATAATGAAACATTTATGTTGCTCTGTTCAGAGAGAACCAGACAAAATTAGAAACAGTAACTGCATAGTGAAAATGGTCACAATAGGTCAGAACTGCTTTTTGCATGTTGGACTCAAATCTTTCTACCAACTTCAGATGTTTTGCCAAAAGCATCTGTATTGCAGGAATTTATTCAAGGTATATGGACTCTATAATCAAAATGTAGTTTCCAAATGAATGTGATTAATTTATCAAATTTTAAAAAGCAGGTGATTGTATCTTCATGGTTAACTCTTTGAATCTCATTTTAATTTTTTTAAATGTTTCCAATCTCTGTAGTTATACACTGGGTTGGGGTATTATGATAAGGAAGTGTATGATATCTCTGAAAACTACAGTGTGAACTATATGGATTTGGTACAGGAGGAACCAAAATGGATTTATCCAATTCTATTGTATATCACACCTTGTTTGTGATTTTCTCCGAGGCATCTGAGGAACAGGACACTGGGTTAGATGAATTCATTATTTTACCTAACAGGAATCTTACTTATCTAAAAGTTGAAGAGTGATTGTAACATTTAGCAGTGCCATTCCACAATATATACTTACATTAGAAAATATTCTAGTTCAAGCTTTCCCTCAGCAGTACTTATTAAGTTCTTGTGAAGGGCATTCGAACAAGTCAAGCTCTGAATATTTAATTAGGTAATTAGTTATACCAAACACTGTTCAGTGGTTAAGCTGTTGGACTGGAATCAGGGAGACCCTCAATCATAGCATTTTACTGGGTTATTTGGGACCAGTCACTGTCAGCCTGCCCCTCACAGAATTGTCGTTGGGGAAAATAAATAAATACTATACTTAGATACTTCACATTCACTATTGGCTCCAGCTGTTTTACAAACCCATTCATGGAGTACTTCCTAATAGCAAGTAAATGTAATGATAGCTTCCAATATTCCCCCCACCACTTTATCCAGTTCTAATTATTTAACTATATAATTGCCTTTTAAAGGTGAATATTTTTCCACCTGCCAGTACAGCATTCCAAATACTTTTAATTTTATGTACCAGTCACGTTTAACGTACACCTGAAGAATCAAGCACCACTACTGCTTCTCAGGTCTTCCACTTTTGTCCTTCCCAAATCATCTACAGCATTTTCTCTTCCTGATTTCTTCTGACATCTCGTTATTTTTGTTCTCCAATGTCTCTTTCATGTCTGATTAATTATAAATCATCTTGATTTTGTAAATACCATTATTAGCATGATACAAAAAGAAGAAAAAATGTTTTGCAGACTAACTGAAAATTGGTTTGGAAGCAGTATTAACAAAAACTGAATGCAAAAGGACCCTATTTTAGGATCTCATATCTTTGCCTCTTGCCAATAGTTTAGTACTCAGGAAAAATCACCTCAGAGAAAATTTAAGTCTTCATTTATTGGGCAGACAATACAAATAATCACTTTGATTTTTGACTCTGTGCTTGTGCCTTCAGTACTTTAACAACAATCTTCTGTTCCTCAATAAGGAATGCTCGCTTGATTCTAGAAAAAAAAGCAAAACATTGTTATAATTCAGCAGCAAGCAATGCCAATCATAACAGGCAACCACATCACTTGAGCATTTAATGAAGCATTTGTTAGATCAAACTGTAACCTGATTACAAGCCATGTTTTTGTCATGTTAAAATAAATCCTTTATCGAGAAGTAGGAAGAATAACTAATTCTTTACTAATTCTAATTTTGTTAAGTTTAAAAAAGAACATTTTTTATAAAACAGAATCTTTAGCATCAAGTTGCCTCCATGAGCTAACAATATATGCATACAAGTCTTATTCATCTTCCTATGATCAGTAAGTTTCTTATAGTTGCAAGATGTATCAACTGTTAACTGACAGGTAAAATAAAACAAGGTAGATGGATGCAGCTCTCTGTTACTTTGAACCTTGCAATTAACAACTTGTACATCAACATCCCTTAAAATTATTCTAATGCAAGTGACCATTGTTATCTATAGTGTATATGTAATTCCAGTACATTCAAAATGAACCTATGAACTTCAGAAAATTATACTTAAATTATGATTTACCTGTCACGAACACATTTAGCACACATAGAACCTCCATAGGCTCTACTAACATGCTTCTTTGTTTTGGAAAGTCTCATAAGAACTTTAGGACGAACAGCGCGGACCTGTAGAAAATAAAATACATCTTTGTGTAAAAATCACCTAACTTCATATAATCTGAAATTTATCTAATAAAGAGAGCATAGGTCCTATGTTAACTTTTCTACTTATTTAAATTACCCATTCATAGTGTTATGACAAGATATTTCTGAACAAGTATTATAATAAATGAATACACTTTAATTTCAAAGGCTTTATTGCTTAAGACCAAATATTTTACATTTATCCCCCTTCCTAACATAGGGGAAGAAAAGCATACCCAGAGTAGATCCACTGAAGTGAAAGAGATTTCAGCCAGGCATGAGCTACTGTGCTACTTACTTCACTAGAATTACTCAAAGTTTGTCAAAATATGGATTTAGCTCTTAAGAATATCTGTACATGAACCACACACTTCCTGAAATTTTTACTTCAAATATCATAATTTAATATAAATGTGGCAGAACAAATATTAGCTGAGCAAGGGTTAACAGTGCTAATGGCACTGGGAAAATACCTCTACATTTGCCATATCACTTCAAAAGTAAATATGTTCTCCAGAAACTTTTAAAGAGCTTGAGGAAAATAAAATGAAGAATGCTGCCTTAAAAGAAGAAATTCTAGCTGGTATTTCTAGCAGGCAAAATAAGTATGTTCAGCTCCGGAACAATCACATTATTGACTAACATTGTTTTTTCTGAAACAGTTAAAAATGGGAATATTATGACTTAAATACAAAGTCAATAGCAAAGAGAACATATATGTAGTATTGTGAATAGTAAGGTATTACAGCAATAGATTACTAAACACTAGGTTAAACACCACACTGATAAGGCAAAGAAATATATATATAGATAGGGGATTATTACGACTTAAATACAAAGTCAATAGCAAAGAGAACATATATGTAGTATTGTGAATAGTAAGGTATTACAGCAATAGATTACTAAACACTAGGTTAAACACCACACTGATAAGGCAAAGAAATATATATATAGATAGGGGATTATTACGACTTAAATACAAAGTCAATAGCAAAGAGGACATATATGTAGTATTGTGAATAGTAAGCTATTACAGCAATAGATTACTAAACACTAGGTTAAACACCACACTGATAAGGCAAAGAAATATAGATAGATATAGAGATATAGATATGAAATATGGATTTTTAAAATGGAAAAAAATCCTAAATTATTTACCTAGAGTCACATAAATCTGATATTCGCATATAAATTGGCTGGTACACTATAGCCTGGTCTTCATATAAATCCAGTTAATAAAAATGAAAGAGAAAAAGACTTACACCACGAAGTCTTCCTGGGCACACACCACATGCAGACTTTGGTGCCTTCCCAACTTTCTTAGTATAAAGGTAAACAATCCTATTACCCGGTGTCCTGGACCTGTATGGACCAGATAACAAACAGTATGGGTGTCACAAATTCAAACAAAAGACATTCAATTTGAGAATAGCCAAGAATTATATATTGGACTTACAGCCTGGTCTTGTTAGAGGCTGTATTGTAGGACAGCCTACGCCGGTATGTCAGACGTTGGACCATTTTTAGTGCCTAAAATAAGGGAAAGTAAATGGAGTGTGAGAAAGGTTCATTGCTGTTTAGATTAAACCATACACCAACCATCTCCAACCTGACTCCCATTGCCCTGAACAACAGAATTCCTAATCTCTGGTTATTATAAATTTGTAATCCATCACATCTAAGGCTACTCTACACTCTTGGCTATAAAGGTCATGCTGCTGATTGACATTAAGTCCAAATAATAAATAGCCATTTTTTTAAAATTCTCATGGACAGAAAATGTCACAATGTCAAAATATTATTTCTTACACTAATAGTATTATTAAGAAGCATAGTTTGTCACACTTGCTATGTTGCTAAAAATGCTGATGCTGTCTACCCTTAACAATCTTCCAGACCTTCACATGAAAAGGATTTGCACCCAGATCCTGCTAATCCAAGCCAATAAGCTATACTACTTTCCCCCAAACAGTCCTCCCCCGATATTTCATGGGGAGATGAGCACAGGAACAATAACTGACACTCCGGGTGGCCTCAAGCTGGAAAAAGCTGGTGCGCAGACATTTCCCCTCTCCCTATCCCAAAAACACCCCCGACGAAGTTGGTTCTTGGAAAATATTTCTTGGGAGGTGGCAAATTTTTTAAAGTAGATGCATCATGTCACAATCCTACAATGTTTACAGCTACTGTAGAAAGAGAGTGCAGATGAATGAACGACCACGGAAACTTGGTAACAAACTGCTAAATGCTATGCCTTTCAAACAACAGCGTAGCTGAGCCTCCAGAGACTCACGATCATTTATAACTACGGACAGGTTTCGGGAAGGCCTATCAATCCAAGGCCAGGCTGCGAGGCCGCCTTCCTGCACTCGCATTACGGCCTCCTTCTCTCCTATTTGTCCATGTACCAGAGCCGTACATCCTTCATTCTTCACCCCAGAGTCCCAACCGCGTCGCAGGAAACCTTTAAGCTCACCCAACTTTTCTATACAACGGATGGAAACAGATTAAGACCAGCTCCCCTCCCAAAGAAGACAAGAAACGAACACTACCTTAGGCGGGCGCTTGCACCGGAAGAGAAAGAAGGCGGTAGCGTGGAGGTTAAAGTTGAAACGTGGACGTAAGAACCCGGAAATGTGATTACGCTTCCTCATTCAGTTCCCAGGGAGAAGAAAATGGGCGCTGCCATCTTGTACGGAAGAGGGAGAAAGTTTTCCATTCAAAGTTGAAGTCGGATGACGAGAGTTAAGACAGGTTTCTTATTACTTCAAGAGTTTACAGGCATGATGTAACAGTATATTGTGAATATAAATAGTGCTGTCTATTACTTCTAAAAAACGAACGCAGCTTTTGAGTTCAGTGGGATTTGTATTAAAGCAGAATATTACGACATAGTGCAATATTAAAATGATAATAACCGCCCGCATTACCTAATCCAGTTTGCATTCATGTAACTTCTGCTTTCTATTACAATAAAGTATGCACCTGCAGTCTTCCGTTTTCTCCCCCTTTGATTTACCAAGGTAGCCCACAGCCCGAGGATTTCCTGGGGATCCCCTTTCCAAGTATTAACCAAGGGTGACCCTGCTTAGGTGCTTGACATCAGCCGGAAACACGAACTGCACTGAAAATATTTGCAACTGAATACTTTTACAACGGTAGCTGTAGCAGCTGATAGCACTTCACAAACTAAGTTTTAGTAATTTAAATTAATTGCTCATTTTACTGGGATCAAAATGTAGCATTTTTATTGAAAAGGGAAGGAGGTTAAGCCCTAAGCTACATATTATTTTAAAGCATCTTTGCTTCTTTTATGACTTTGCCATATAAATTCACAATTAAAAATAAACTAAAAGCAATATTGAGAAAAGTGGGTAAAATAACAGGCTTACCCAAATTAATTACAGTAATTACAAAAATATACCATAATAGAAAAGCAGTGCTGTTCTTTCTTGGAAGTAAGTCCTTGAGTTTAGTCAGTCTGAATCTTAAATAAGGAGCTGCATTTTAATGATATTTATTAAATATTAAATAAATATTTACTATTTTATTGATAGCCAGTTTAGTGTAGTGGTTAAGACATCAGGCTAGAAACCAGGAGACCATGAGTTCTAGTCCCACCTTAGAGATAAAGCCAACTGGGTGATCTTGCGGCAGTCAGTCTCTCAGCCCTAGGAAGCAGGCAATGCCAAACCATGTTTGAAAAACCTTGCCAGGAAAACTGCAGGGAGTAGTCCAGGCAGTCACCATCAGTCAATAGTGACTCGAAGGCACCCAAAAAAAAAAAAAGAACAGCCAATATTCTGATTAATTGATTAACCCCAACCCCTTGAGACTACAGCTTTCTAATCGAATCTAGTGGCTATGCTGTCTGGAAATTAGTGCAACACATCAAGAGCTTTTTTTTTCCCTTCCAAAGCTTTATCATCTTGGTTGTTTTCCCATGAATATGCTCCAGTTTGTGTATGTCCTTCCTAAAATGCTGTCCCCAAAGTGGACACGGTATTCTAGATGTGGTCTAAACAATACGGAAATAGAGAAGAACAATGACTTCTCTTGATTTTGATACTATATTTTTGTTTATGTAACCTGGGGTTGTATTATGTAATATGCATCCTTGCAGCTGTATCTCACTGATGGCTCATGTTCAGCGTGTGATCCACCAAGACACACAAGTGTCTTGAACATGAACTGCTGTCTAGTATAGCCTCTCCCATCCCATCCTCATGCTTTTGATTTTTTTCTAGCCAAATGAAGGACATTGCATTTGTTCCGTTGAAATTAATGTTATTGGTTTCTGTCCTTTGAGTTTGTCAGGATCCTCCGGAATATTTATAGTTTCCTCTAAGGTGTTGGCTGTGTCCTCCCCGCCCCCACCATTTTTGTATCATTCACAAATATAATAATCATTTTCTTACTGCTCATCCAAATCATTTATAAATACTTTGAAGAGTACAAGATCTAATGGAGTCCTGCAATAAATCACTTGACACCCTTGCTTAGTCCAGCCCACATTTTACATCTTCTTTACCAGGATTCCAAAGGCAACTGTTATTGTTTTGCTGAAATCAAGGTATATTATGCTGAATGTATTACAGTGGTTAGCTAAACTGATCACTCTCTTAAAAAAAGAGATGGCTTCTTTTGTGTGGTTTGGTGTGACTAGTTCTTAATAAATCCTGCTGGCTTCTGCAAAGCAATGCATTCTGTCTAAATGCTCACCATAGGTAGGTAGGTAGGTAGGTAGGTAGGTAGGTAGGTAGGTAGGTAGGTAGGTAGACAGACAGACAGACAGACAGACAGACAGACAGTTGTATAGAAGTTACTACTCTTTCTTCTCCTTATATAAAGAGCAAACAGTTACAGGAATTGATAACAGGCATGGAGCATAGACCCTAGAAGGACTTGTTTGCACTGGTTATTCACACAGTTGGCTGGCTCACACATCACTTTAAAATAGCATGCTTAAACATGGATTATGAAATAATCACAATTGATTGGGTTTGCACATTCTTAGTTATAGCTTCACATAATATGCTTAAGCCAAAGCCAAACAAACCATATTAAAGCTGAATGCACCAGGCTGTTTATTATACTTATATTTCCAAACTCAGTTGCATACAGGGTCCAAGGTTATTTCATTCACACAACAAAGTGTGGGTGTAATTTCAGATATTTATGACTTGGGAGGATAGAGAGTAATACTGGGAAAACTCCCCATAAATGTTTGTACACTTTTATTTACATGAGAGCAGCAGTTTTTTTAATGTACATGTTAATATGTGGGCTTCCTACTTTTGTAGTGGAATACTGTGCAAATTATTTTTAAATGTGTACATACAATCCTATTGTAATTCAGCATATGTATGACTATCATATCTGGGCTATAATTTAGATGACTATTAGTAGTCAGGAAGAAGATTTCTGGCTTTTTGCTGTCATCTGCTGGTAATCTGGATTTTTGCAGCCCAGATAATCCTAAATATATGGGCAGCCTTAAATTTGCAGAGCTTCAGTTGTTCAAAAGTAAGCTGACTTTCCAGACTTTATGCGGGTTTGACATCATTAGCTGCTTCTGCTTTCATCTTTTAAATAGTATCCTTCCAAAAGCTTTGATGTATATTCATGGCCTTATTTATAAATTTGTAACTTACATGTTGCTGAGAAGTATCCTCTCAGCCTGATACCAATATAATTATTATTTTGGTTAATTACTGGATGCAAATTTAAGACACCAAATGCAAATTTAAGACACCAGCATATCTCAATCTCCTAAAGTAATGAGAAAAAAATATGTATAAACAAATTATGCAAGCTCATTATAAAAGAAACACATTTTCAGCCACAAATGAGTTTCAGAGCAATTAGAGTATTAAATTTGACCTTTCTGGGTCCTGAACCCTAAAGGGAGGAGACCCAATTAAATGACATTAAATAACAATGACCTAAATAGAAAAGGGTAACTTGATTCAGTTGTTAAAGAACAACACTTAAATTGCTGATGAAGGAATTTGGAATGATCTCTAAAAGCAACATTTTATTACAATATTAGTATCTTAATAGTGCTGCTACTAGTTAAATAGATTTCGATCCCATGTTCAAGTGACAGAAATCTTGAATTAAAACAAGTGTTTTATATTATACATGTTATATATTGTACCCAGTTTTGTGAAAAACTCTTCAACCCCTTTGGGATTTTCTGAAATTTTCTTTATTTTTGCTACTTCATGTTAGAGCTATGTGTGGGTCCACCTGAAGAATTAATGCTTCCTTCAGTGCTGACAAGTTGTCCATGTCCTGAGGCACCAAAGCATCACCAAACCATGATGTTTGACAGCTGCTACAAGGTTTTATAGTGGAACACACTGTTTGATTTCTGCCAGATATAACAACATCCATGTAGCCTGAGAAGTTCCATTTTTGACTCTTCCATAAAATATTCCTCCAGAAGTTTAGAAGGTATTTGAAGTGCTTTTTGAAGAGGAATGTATGTTGAAAGAGGAATGCATGTTTTTCTTGCTGACCAATGGCTTCTTCCTTGTCCCCCTCCCATGAATCTTGCTTTTCTCCAGTGCTTTCCTGATAGGGGAGTCATGAACACTGACTTTTACCAAGACAAGAAAGATGTTCCTGCAGATCCCAGGGTGTTCTTCTGGGTTTCTTTGTAGACAGTCTTATTTTGCAGTCTTGGAGTGATTTTAACAGGATAGCTTCTCTTGGAAAGATTGACTTTTGTTCCAGAACTTTTCCATTTCAAGATTGTATTTGTGTATCAGTGGAGCCCCAGAGCTTTGGAAACAATCTTGTAATCTTTTAAATAGTGATAAACATCAATGATTTTTTATCAGAGATCTTCAGAAACTTCTTCTGAGCAAGGCATGATGTACCTCTAGAATTTTTATAATAGGAACTTCACTGGAATGAAGTAAGCCAACGTTTCTGAGATTTACAAAAGACAGAGCTGGCCTAAATCAACCCTGATTGTTTCATGAAGTACTCACACAACTAGCCCTAGTTATACCTTTAATCAAACTGATTAAATTTTTCACAGTTGACATTGCATGTTGTATGATTTCATTTATAATAAGCACCAAAATTTGCTGTTATTTGTTACTCAAGGCCGCATGAAGCTTTGAAAACAGTAACAAATCTTCAAAAGATCCAAGAGAGGAGGAGTACTTTTTTCAGAAATATAGCATTAAACTATTGTTTATTGTTTATATTTGTTAGATTGAGAGTCCCTAGACAAACCTTGCATTACATACCAGCTATTTCATATGCCATTGGTGGTACTTATTTTAAAAAATCAGTGTGTGATCAGATGCAGATGACTTTGGCTTGATGTTTCAGATGCAAAAATATCTAAGGCACCTGGCTAATCTAAGAACAGAGGGGAAATTGATAAAAGTTCTGTCTCTTTCTTTAGTTTTCATTAGCGGGGTACCACCTGATGTGCAAAATGCTAGGCTGCTGTTTGTTTTGCTTTGTTTTTGAACAAAAAAATTGAGTGCTTGTTTGAATTCAAGAGTGAGAAAAGATAAGTGTTCCCACCAATGGGAAGAAGTACTGTACACAAGCTCCAGTATTGCAAAAGAGAAGGCTAGGTCTGCTCCAATTTGAAATAAGCAGCACAAAGCCAGAAAAAAGTTGGACCTTTTCTCAAAACAAGCCAGTGTCATCCCTTGGGCAGATTTGGAACCAATATTGAACTAAATATTACATCTTTTGTGTGGAAATGCCTGTTCTATGGGAATTTTTTCTCCAGTTCCCATGGTCTGATTTCCTTCCCCAGCCTCCTTTCCTAACATCACTACCATTCTCTTGTTGTTGAATATGTTATAGTATTCATCAAGTAGGTTTTCATACGTGTGTGGCTTTGCCCTCTGAAATTTATCTTCCAACTTTACTTTCTTGTTGGGTGTTTTGGTATGACTGTAATTCTGACCAGGTTAACATCCTCTCCCCCTTGTTTTTCAGCCTATTACTGAGTTTGATATCAGAAGTAATGGAGTCTTTCTAGGTTAGGGTTACTCTTTAGATGGGAGCTGAAAAAATATTTTCTCCTGCAAGATGATGAATTAATTAATTAACAGTTTTCTAAGCTCTTCTGACAAAAATGTTTTAAAAACAGGCTTTTGGGTTTCATCATTTATTTATGAAATCAGACATATCCCATCTTTTGACCTTCAAAGGAGCATCTAAGGCAGCTTGTATGTATACACAAATAATATTTTAAGAATAAATGTAAAAAGTTAAGCACCAAACCAGCATTGAGATTCAGGCTATATTAAATGCATGCTGAATTAGCAACAATAATCTACTAGTCTGTAGAGATCCAGCCAGATCTCTACAGAGAGAATTCCAAGGTAACTAAAACAATCCTATCCTGAATAGCAGGTGGATGTCTCAGTCTGTTTAGAGCTTTTTGGGTCATATCCGATACATGGAATTCAGCTAAATTACAAATAAACTTAAAGAAATATCCATTAAATGTAGTTTAAAATAGCAAGGGATTGAGTTAAAAATCAAAGTATTCCAACTGAAGTGTGTTTCTGAAATATAACATTAATATAGCTTTAAATGTTTTTCAACATACTTTTCATTCCAATGTGTTGTATGAAAGTCAGCATAGTGGTCATTTTTATAGGATTGTAAAAATTACTGAAGTAATGTAAGGAAGCCCTTGGAACACAAAATAACTATATAGGAGCTATACTATTGTTGTTGTTAATAATATTGTCTGTATTTAAAAAGTACACTATTCTTTGCTTGTTAGGAATCTTATGCATGCAACAGCTTCTGTTGGTATATTTTAATTGAATTGCCCACAGTATAGACAGTGAATATTCTGTGACATTAAAAGGATCCAGCATTCATTTCCACATCAATTTTATTTGTTTAACAAACAAAATTACAGTATTTTGTACTGAGGAGGATAGAAAGCAATTCCATAGAAAGCAATCCCTCACATACAAATGCATATACTGTAATGTATACGGGTTGAAATATTTTCTTATCCAAAAAGAGGAGCAGATGTAATTACCCTGTAAAAAAGAGAATTAAAATGCTGTTAATCTAGCCACATAAGTAAAGTTATCACTGAAATTCTAATTAAATAGGATGATTGACTAAGGTAGGACATCAAAGAAAAGTACTGAGTATGGTAAGTTGAAGTCTTATTAATTAGTCCACATAGAAGACATAGCAGAGACATCAAGCTGAGGCTGCTGCAAGGAGAAAAAATGGCAGACGAGGAAAAGTATGTTTCTTTGAAGTTAGGAACGGAGATAGTGATGGAGGTAATTGTGTCTGACTGAATCCAGTAATGAAGAGACGTAAAATCAGGCCCCAGAATTGGAGGCCGGAGCCAAGTTATGAAGATGGGTATCCCCCTGCTGTGAAGAAACAGAATGCAGAACTGACTAATTGACCCAGTCTATCTCCCAGGAGCTCCCTGTTATTATTTATTAATTTTTAATTTCTGAATTATTTACATTCTGGGAAATTATTTTTGGCAGCCTGTTAAGAACACCAGAGTTAATGGAGGACGAAAGGGGCTGCAACCCAGAATTAGCAGGGACGGAGTCACAGGCTACTGGATTTAATGATTTTGGAAAGGATAATTGATTTCACACAGTGTGTCACTTTATACTACTTTAGGGATACACCAGCTATTTTATTAATTGAGGAATAACCAACTCAGAAGAATATTTGAAGTGTAAATGAGTTTCAGGGCTCAACTATTTATGCTCGGTCTTTCCCCCTCCCTCACCATGCTACATGTGAAAGGCAGAAATGGGCTTGTTTAAACTTGCTGACTAAAGCCCATGTAAAGGCAAGCTTTGTTGTACTTTGGTGAATCTGCAATAAATAAAGGCATTATAATACAAATTATTATTTAATGACTATCGGATGGGTGGGTGGATTACACTGCATCAACGTAAAAGCCAATAGTAGTCATATCTAACATAATAACTTTTCCAAATAAAACTGTAAAGATGATTCACTAAGTGATCATCGCTATTTAGAATTACTTATTGATGCTGGGTATGATATAATTGGAACAGTGTCTAATAATCTGTGATTTATTTATTTATTTTTTTAAGGACATTTCAAGAAATTTGGAACAAAACCCCATTTTCTACCCTGAGACAGAAGAAACTCTAGATTTCAATCACTACTATTATCTAACAAGGAATGGAATTGAATCTGAGTGCCAGCTGTTGTTCCAGTCCATGTTAGTTTTTCTGACACTGTTTATCCTGAACAGCTGCAAGACTGCCAGGACTAACATAGACGTCTCCTTGATGGCTAATAGTATATTGTATTTTACCTGCATATAAGGGTGAATCTTTTGTAGGAGTTTGTCGAGATTCTCATTTTATTTTTAATAAAATGGCTGGTAAAAAGTGAGATTGACAGTGAAAATGCAAGATTAATCTGTCCTTACCATAAATAGGTTTTTCAGAGATGTACTTCTTCATGGGTATATAATATTGAAATCATGCCCCAAATATCTCCCATGACCGAGTAACAGAAGTGGCCATAAGGAAATAAAGGAGAGGTTCTTTCCTCAACAAAGAACATAGTGAAGCCCTTCATGACTTTGCAAAATGTCAGGAAAAAAATAGGCAGTGTGTGTTGATATCTATACTTGGAAAGATGGAAACACACTTTGAGGGATGATTTGCTAAAGGAATATGATGAAATATAATGACCACAAAATTGTCCTAAATTTTAAAAAAATGTCTATGTAAATATAATTACTTGGAAATAATTGTAGAGAAAGAGAAAGGCTTTACTTTGAAGGGTTTAATGAGTTCCTTAAATATATATTTCTCCTCTTCTTCTTCTTCTTGTTCTTCTTCTTCTTCTTCTTCTTCTTCTTCTTCTTCATTTATTTATTTATTTATTTATTTATTTATTTATTTATTTATTTATGGCTTATTTTTCTTGTAGTTCATGAGCCCGATGAGTATGCTTTTTACTGACAAGAACATACGGGCTAGTTTGAATTTATCTATTACTTTGTGGATTACACCATTGGCAATTAATGAAGCAAGGAAGATAAGTTAATAGAAAGTGTTCTAAGACATGGTTGACCTGTGGCCTAGGCTTCAAGGATTGCTTCCTTTTCCCTCCCTCACAGTGTCACAGTATTCCTCCAGTATCCTCTTTTAGGCTACCGTGAACACTTCACCAGAAGGGCAGACAAAGGATTAATGCAAAGATGGAAGAATCCTAAAGCAGGGACAATTAAAAGTGCTCCTTTGTTGATCAGGTCTCATACTGAAGTTGCTGTTGACATCACCCAGTGTGAAGTTGAATACTGTCCATAGTTAATGTGTGAACAGAATGTGGCCCATAGTGGATTAACTTTTGAGTTCACACATATGATACAGTTAAGATTAAATTAGGTGGACTCATACAGTAAGATAAGACACAAACCATGGTTTACAAATCACAATGGCTAGATTCACATTTTGCTCCAAGTCATAATACAACTCATTTGGTTCTGGATTATGTTGTATGAGCCCAGCCAATTGTGGCTTAGTCCACAAACTATGAATAAAGAAACCACGTTTAAATGTAGTATCTTCCTGTCATTTTAAGACTTCTTTAGAGGCACTTCTCTTGGAGTTTCTACCTCCATGCTGAGTCAGGTGCCAGCTTATTACATCAGAGAGGGCCTTTTTGTGTGATCGATTGAAATTATTTAACTCTGTCAAATGGTCTGCTTGGCCACAATCCTTGCCACTGTTAAAGGCTAAAAGATGGAAGGAATAGTAGCAAAACAAAAAGGAGAAATTTCAATAACAATGAAATGTATTTCTGAAAAATACCTCAAAGTGTCTTCAAAATATACCTTGGAAAGGAACTTTTTAATACCAAAAATCCATTTAAAATCTACACTTCTAAAATTTCTGATGTGGAATTTGAATGAAAGCCTCTGAATTATTACAACATAAATTGGATAGGTATAAAGGGGCCATTTTGCATTTAATAGTTTCTTTTTGATATATATTTTGAAAAAAATGTATATTTTCAAAAGACACTGGCCTTTAAATGAATACGCTTGGAGTTTTTCCTTTCCTTTCTGCTATTGTTTTAGGTGACACTCAAGCTTGCTTGCTTGCTTGCTTCCTTCCTTCCTTCCTTCCTTCCATGTTGTCTAAGAGTTGTTTTTTCCATTACTCATTTTTCATCTGCAGATCATCTGATTTTATCTCTGTGCTTGGTTTTTTTTCATATTGATTTTTATGGGTTTTAAAATTTTTATTTTTGTGAGTTCCTTTAGGGCTGCTTGCCAGTAAAAGAGAGAATACAAATCCCTTACATTACTAAAATAAACATAGGCCTCCTGCCAGTTGTCACTAGTGCCCTTGGAAAAACCAATGATTTCATTCTTTCAATCATGCCCAGAGAGTTACTGCTGCTGTGGGCCTGTGCTCTGCAAGATGTGTGTTTGTAAGGCCAACTTGATGATATAAAGAGAGCTAACAAGGAGGCAAACTGGACCAGGTTTCAGGGGCAAACATTCCTGGAATAGGCTCAGACAATCATCAGAAAACATGGCAAAGTTTTATATTATTAAGTTGCCCTCAGAATCTATTTTCATATCATGCTGTTTGGATTCCTTAGGGCATTTTCAAATAGCCACCAGTTTCATGAATTAAACCCTCATAAACCGATACCAATGATGGAGTGCAGTAATCCATATTCAACCAACATGCTCCTGTCTGATCTTCAGTTGTCAGTTTTCTCAGATTTTCAGCCAAAGACATATGTTCACTGTAAGATGGGAATTCTACTCATTTTAAAACAAGTGAAGGTGCCTGAAACTCAGTGGGGAACTGTCTGCACCCTAGCTTGGTCCTGCCATTGGAGAACTCTTTCTGCAGCGATGCCTTTGGTGTCCCTCTGGAGACAAACTGATAGTTTACACTATCAGAATATCTTTGTGAGGAATTAGCCATGTTGTGTTCTCGGTTCCTGAGTACATCTAACGTCTTCTAAAATACATTCCAGTGATTTTATAACAGATGTATGGAAGTCTTTTGGGAGATGTGCTGATGTGGAAAGAATGAAATGATCCAAGCAGAATATGAGAACAGCAAAATGCAAAGGAAACATGTGAACTGATTACTGCAAGTCTCTAATAACATTTATACTTCCTAGAGTTATATCCACTGTATATCTTTTGTCAGGCCATTGATTTTCACAGTGAGTGACTACTGCTTACCTTTGCAAACAATTAAATGTAGTATGAATAAATCCCAAAAGTGCAAATCTGATATCATGCCATTAGCCATATCCACTTATGACTGGACAATTCATATTATCTTTTAATGGGATAGTTAGGAAGTGAACATAAAGGAATTAATAGGCTAGACCTTATAACAGAAAACATGAACAGTTATTATTTAAATTGTGAGTTGTATGAAAGTACAAATCCATTGGTTGGTGATAGCTGCATATTATGCTCTGGTGAACAGTGATGATGAAAATATCAGGGATGAATTTTGGGAGAAAATGCACAGCATTCCGAATGAATGTGGTATGGGAGAATTAATCTGTTAGGTGACACAAATGAGACAAGAGAATACAGAACAAGCAATTGGACCATTTGAAGATCTAAGACCCAATGGGAATGGTGACTGTTTGGGGAGGATCTGCTTAGAAGAGAGTCTGCTTGTTTTGAATAAATGGTTTAAGCATATGGATGTTCATCCCTACACATGGTAATGGAATGAATATAAAACCAAAAGCATGACTGATTTGATTTTTTATGATGAAAGCTTGAGAGAATTAGTGAAGGATACAGGTGCTGAAAGGTTCCAAATATGAGACAGACCTTTATGTGGAAGTATCTGAGTCAAAGGAAAATGAACATGAAAGAAAAGGAAAGGAGCAAAAAAAAAAAAAAGTGAAAATAAAAATGACTGCAAGAAGAGGAAGTACACACTGTACATGAAAAAGTATTAGAAGATATCTAACTAATCCCCCAAATGAATGAATGGGGTTGTAAGGAAAGAGGATATAGAAATTGCTTGGACCAAGAGTGAAAAGAATGATGTTACAATCTGCCACAGAAGTGTGTGAAGTTACAATAAAGAATACTGTTAAATTGATACCTTGGTGAAATAATGAAGTAAAATTTTAAAAAATGCATGTAATAGAATGACTGCTGAAAAAATGAAGATGAGAGAAAGGTACTGTATAATATGTATGAATATGAGAGAAAATACAATTGCAAATAATGTAATAAAAGAGATTGAGGAAGTGTTAACTTTAAAAGGATAGAGAAAATATAGACAATTTTGATGGAAAAAATGTTGTGAAAATGGCTGAAGAGGGACTAAACAAGGAGTGAAAAGCAGAGGGAATGGAATTAAGAATAAAAGTGATGAAATTATTTGGATGAAACTGAAATAAGAGAATGTTAGAATTTTACAGATGTGTATGAAAATCCTAATGATACTATAAATGTTAGTCTCCAAAAAAATGATGAACAGGAAACCATAAATAATCGGAGAATGTGGAAAATTAGCAGGTGTTAATGGTGTAAGTGGAGTTTTTAAAAATGGATATGGTTTGCTTATGGAGTGGCTGTGCAGTTTGTTTCCACATATGGTTGATGATTGGAGGATTGGAAGAAAACCATTATTGTTCCATTATACAAACAGAAAGTTAACAAGAGTAAATGCAAAAATATAAGGGGATTAAATCTGCCTAGGAAATGGTTCAACAAGGTTCTGACTGAAAGGGTACAAGAGCTGACAAGTCAGATTTGAGAAATGCAGTATGGCTTTTGTGATGGAATGGACTTATGAAGGCCAGGCTCAGGGAGATAAGCATGTTCTTAGCCCC